AAAAAAAAAAAAAGTGACAGGGTATGCTAGGGAGACAGGAGCTGCAGCGACTCAGGAACCAGAGAGAAGTTTCTTTCCACCTTTCCACCCCCACTGCCTGGGAGTCCAAAGACCAATCCTGAACAGGGACTTAGCAGATCCTACAAGAACTAGGACAGTTCTCTGGGGCCCAAAGGATGCAGGTGGAGTAGTGGTTTTAAAATGTCTGCAAAGTCTTTGACAATCCCTCCTTCCCATCAAGGGTGGAATGTCATTTTCCTTCCTTTGAATGTGAGCTAGCCTTGGGAATTCACCTGTAATGAGCAAAATGCAGCAGAAATGACACTGAGTTATTTTAGAGCTTAGAAGATAGAAAAAAAGTGACACAGCGTCCACCTGGCTCTCTCTGGGGACATTCACTTTGGAACCTAGCCAACATGCCCTGAGGGAGCCCAGGCCACATGGAGAGGCCATATAGGTGTTCTAGTCAAGGGCCTCTGCTGAGATCCCAGGTGGCAGCCAGCACCACCACCAGACTCGTGCAGGTAAGTGCCTTGGAGGTGGCCCCTCCTGGCTCCGTCTGACTGCACCCAAGAGACACCCCAGGGAGAATGGCCTGAGCCCACGACTCCCAGACCATGCATGATACTAATAAGTGAATGTCACTAAGTCTGGGTGGTCTGTTAGGCAGCAGAACAGTGGGATGAGGTGCATTTCCAGAAGTTGCAGGACAAGATCCAAATGCCCAGCCCAGTTTAAGAGTGCCAGCTGTGTTGGACGCGAGCAAACCAGCATGGCACCCACCCTGGCCACGGCCTGGGCCTGGAATAACACTTGAGGAGCAGACCTTCAGAGCTGAGGAGACAGGCTGGGATTCCTCCTTGGGAAGAGCCATACCAAGGGCAAAGCAATCTTGGGGCGCTCCAAGGCTGTGCTCCAGCCAGAGCAGCCTGGTGAGCCTCAGAGCATTCCAGGTTGACCTCGTGGGGCATATCTGGCAGAACCAGTCACATGTTTAAAATGGCAGGCTGGGGATGTGCCAGGCTACAAAGGGCAAGAGCAAGCCCAAGCCTCCAAAGCCTTCTCATCGGACGTGACCAAAGCCCTCCTTGGATGGCAAATCTAAAACCCTGCTCATTTGTCAACGCCCTGGTAAACAAAGAGCTAAATATTATACTAATGCCTCCTTTCTTTAAAAACACTTTAACTCTCTGAAAAGAAACATGGAAAAACAATGGCAGGAAGTTTTGAAATCCTCTCTGACATTACTCTGCTTTGAAAAGGGCAAATCTGTCTACGGCCGTGCCACCCTGAACGCGCCCGATCCCATCTGAAAAGGGCAAATGTGCTATTTCACAGAACACAAATTTCATGCAGTAACACTCCCCCTGCTGGGAACTGAGGATTATGCCACCGATACTTATTAATGGCACGAAGCACACCATGTACCCTTCCCAACATCATAATTTAAGCAGTTTTCAAAATGTAGTATCAAAGACAAAACTGAGGCTAAGTGCCCCAACTGTGGCCACCTATTGCATTTTAAATAGAGTTTTTCTCACTTTACTGAAAAATGAACCATTCTAGTAAACATTACTAATCATGGAAAAACATCATTTTATGCTATAAACTTAAGAGTAGAATTTCTACTTTGAATGTAAAAAATGAAAATGTTCTATAAGAATGAGCACTACATATTGCTAATAAGACCCCACTTGGCTCATTGAAAGTAAAGGCTACAGATATTAAAATAATTCTTTCCTCACCCCCGCTGCATGGAGCCTTCTAACTGTGCTGCCGCAGCACTCGGCTTTGGGATGTTACCAGGATTCTCCGCATTCCTCCAGGCCTTAGTTATCTGATATGGAAGAGGAAGCTAACACGCTATCCTGAAAGGCGGCCTCAAAGAACAGCAGATAAATACATAAATACGACTGCAAAGCACTTCATAAATATTCAGAAGTTTAAAGCCCTCGTTTGCCAAGTCCACGAATTCTTTCCATCTCTGTGCCTATCTCACTATTTAAAACTTCATTTGGCAAAGTTGCTCTTATAAAAATTTTAATCTAGATGATTTACCTTTGTTACTTTGTCCATTCTCCTTCTGGGATGAGAAAGAAGTTCAGGAAAACAGGCATTCGGGATGCAGTACTCTATCACGTGTGGCCCATCTGTGAAAAAACCTCAGCACGTGAAAAAGAGAATTCTCAGTCCCAAATGTTGCTCTAACTAGCTAAGCAACTTCTCAATACTTGGTAGACTTGCTCCCAAATAGATCCTCTTCTCTCCATCTCAATTATCACTGTGTGAAACCAACCAAGTCTTGCACTATTTCAAAAGCCTCCTAACTGGCCTTCCCATGCCCTTCAAAAGCCCTCCCCACTGCTACCAAACATCCTACTGAAAACTTTGCAAACCTGAATTTACACCCTTTAACTCTGTAACTTCAATTCCGAAGCTTTATCCTAAGGAAATTGACATTGGCATGAAAGCAGCAAAGCACAGTGGCTAAGATCACAGACTCTGGACACAGGCTGCCTGGGTTCACATCTCAGCTCCCAAATGTCTAGCTGCATGAGGGCAAATTACTTATTTTGGATTTTTTTTTCTCCCTTAATTTAATTCATCTTAATTAAATTTTTCTTAATTTTTTGGTGACAGCTCTATTCATATATAATTCACTTATTTAAAGTGTACATTTCAGTGGTTTTCAGTGTGTTCGCAGAGTTGTGCAACCATCATCATAATCAATTTTAGAACATTTTGATCATCCCCCAAAAAGAAACCCTATGCCCATCAGCAGTCACTCCCATGTCCCCTGTCCACCCCAGCCCCTGGCAACCACTAATCTACTTTCTGTTTCTACAGATTTGCCTCTTTTGGACCTTTCTTTCTTTCTTTCTTTTTTTCCTTTTTTCTTTTTTTAGAGACAGGATCTCACTCTGTGACCCAGGCTGGAGTGCAGTGATCCTATCATAGCTCATTGCAGCCTCAAATTCCTCGGCTCAAGCGATCCTCCCACCTCAGCCACCCGAATATCTGGGCCTACAGATGCGTGCCCCCATGCCTGGCTAATATTTTTATTTTTATTTTTGTAGAGACGAAGTCTGTCTATTCCCAGGCTGGTCTGAAACTCCTGGCCTCAAGCAATCCTCTCACCTCAGCCTCCGAGAGTGCTGCGATTACGATTGTGAGCCACGTGTCCAGCCTGGACCTTTCCTATAAATGGGATCATATGATATGTGGCCTTTCGTGACTGGCTTCTTTTACTTAGCATTATGTTTTCATGGTTCATCCACATCACAGCATGAGTCAGTACTTCATTTCTTCTTGTGGCCGAGTAATATTCTGTTATATATGGGCGTACGCATGTTTTACTTATCCATTCAACAGTTGATAGACATTTGGACTGTTTACACTTTTTGGCTGTGATAAATGTTACTACGAACAATTCATGTACAAATTGTGTAGATACATGTTTTCATTTCTCTTGGGTAAATAGTTAGGAGTGTAATTGCTGGGTCATTAAGTTTTAACCTTCTGAGGTTACTTAACATGTTTTTGAAGACTACTTAACGATATGGGGAAATTTTTTCTTCATTTGTAAAAATACTTAAAACCACACACATACATGTACCTAAGTTTATTATAAACATTACATACTTTTGGGTGTGTATATATAGGAAGTATGATTGATTTTATAATCAGGAATTAAAGTGATTTTTTTTTTTTTGGTAAATACTACTATGTTATTCTCCTACTTAAAATGCTTCAAAGGTTCCGTGTTTGCTGAAAACAAAAGAAATAAAATGCTTCAAAGGTTCCTCATTCCTTATAGGACTTCGCACACACCTTCACAACCTGGCCCCTGCCGAGTCTCTGACCTTCTCTATGTCAATCCTCTGCTCCAGCAATATTAAATTCTTTGTATTTTCCCAAACATACTGTCTCAGTGTCTTTGCACAGGCTGTTCCGTCTACCTGTAATTCCTATCCCTCATTCTGTCTGCCTCACAGACTTCCATTTTATTGTTTAGAACTCCATCTTGGCTAAGAGAACTATGTCTTGGCCTTTTCTTTATTTCCCTAATTCCTAGCACAATATTTAACTCATCATAGAAACTCAATATATTGAGCTGACCTGCAAATATTTTCATGTAACAAGAAAAATAAAGGGACATTGTTTATAGTTATCTGCCATATTTCAGTGTATGTTTTAAAGCATGCTGAATAGGATGAAAGGTGACAAGTACTTACAAATTCTAATACTAACAGCTAATAGTTAACAAGCACTTATTATGTGCCAGACTGTTTTAAGCAAGTTAAATGTATCAACTTCATCCTCATACTCTTCCTATGAAATATTATTATTAACATACTAATATATTATTAATAAAATTTACTATGTAAATAATTTCATTTAGATTCTTAACATATTGGCACTCATAAGTGTTAAACTGAGAATTACTTTTAAAAAGTATGTTAAATTACAAGCCAAGTTGGAAAAGTCCTAATTTCACTAAAAACCAGAGAGAAGAGCTACAGTTCGGTCTGATTATGGCTTAGGCCAGGCTAAGGAATTTGAAGCCACTGAAGACTTGGGAAGCTGAAGTCGAAATGTGTCATGGAATCCCAGAGACAAAAGATTTCAACTAGGAAAAAGGGGTTAAATACTTCGGAGTTAGAAAGGAAGCAGAAGGTATTATGTAGCAAAATAGCCTAAAATTTTCATTAAACAAAAAATCACCAACTTTACAATTCAAACTGCTATGTTCTTGTTATAAAATAACTTTGTATACATTTTTATTCCAAAGAAAAGGAGACAATTGTCCTTAAAGACTAACAACCTTTGGGAAATTAGATTCCCAGGGGTTGAGTGACCAAATTTTTACTCTTCCTAGGAGAGGCTCCATTTACACCGGCCACCCCGGTACTCTGTCCAGTTAGTGCCCTTTTTACTCTCAAAAGTGTCCCGATTTCAATTAGATTGTGAAAACAGCTGCACAACTCCATACATTCGCTAAAAATCATGAATTGTACATTTACAATGAATAGATTTTATGTATATAAATCATACCTCAATACAGCTGTTTAAAAAGAAGTGCCAATTTGAACGACAAGTTAGATGGTCACATAATCCATATGCCATGGCCTCAAGGCCTGAAAAGTGATTGACCCTCTGCAAAGGGACAATTATTCCAAGTAGTTCTTTTATGAGAAGACAGATTTTTGTTTCCCTACCTAGACAGCTTCTAGGCACATGACATCAAAATAAGACCTAGCCAAGTCTCGGAGATCTAATGCCATAGAAGCTGACCTTTATAGACCTAGGCATATCCTCCCATTAATGATCCATTCACCTTGTAAATATAAAAGCAACACTATTAACTATCCCTACATACGAGGCAACCTAAGCAAGTGTGCTACTCTACATAAAATCTGCTCTAAGACCATAGGTGGTCTCTATTTGCTTAAAAAGGATACATATATTGTTAAAAGCTTTGGTGTGTTGCTAGCTTTGAATATTAAAGCTAGAAACTTTTCCAACTTTAACTTTAACTCTGGAGTCCAGGAATCCTAAAGAAAAAACAAAGGAACAAAAATAAAAACACTAGGTCATTAAATGCCAATAGTATCATCAAGTTGTAACCAGTGGGTTAAATATCCCTGTCAGTTATTGGAATCAAAAGCGAGATGTCTTGCAAGTGATGTGAGGCTGTGAAATACAGATTTTAGGACGTCTGACCAATTCATTTACAGAAGATTCAAGTATCCACAACAGGAGGAAAAAAAACAGAGTTCTATCATAAACACGGAAAAAATAACCCTGTATACGATATGAATATTTCATGTGACTTAAACACAATTGTGACAAGTAACCTTATTAGGGTGAATACCAAAAATAATTCAGTTCGGTTTAGGCATGCATGGCACTGGTAGGCATAACAAACAATTATCACCAAGTTACTGAAAGCTTCCGAACAGGACTCATTTCCATAAACCTCCTCTAGATAAGAAAAGACGACAGAAGCTATACCTGCCACAAATACCCCATCATGCCAAGGATTATGATATACTTTTAGTTTGATTTGTCCCTTAAAAATAAATTATTTATCTCAAATAATGCTCAATAAGGAAAAAATAATGACAAATATTTAATAGTAAAAGAAATGCAACAAGTAAGGATCTTTCTCAGGACAATTTTCCTTTGACGCTTTATACAAAAATATCTTCCACCCAAACCAAGAAGTTCCACAAAAAAGCAGCTCTGTCACTAAAAGTTCATATCACATCCACTGTCCTTTGGATCCTGCCCCTTCACCTCAGACCTTCCTGTCCTTGCCCACTTCCTCCTCCTCCCCGGCCCTGCATTTGCCTCCATGCCTCCACTCCCACCCAATCATCTAGCCAGCATGTCACCTGGCTTCTGGAAAAAATACTGCCAATGAACAGAAAGTTCTTATATTTAAAAAACTTTGTAATTCCCTGACACTGTATGATAACTTTGTTTATAATGTGTATGTTATGGCTGGGCGCAGTGGCCTCACACTTATAATCCCAGTGCTTTGGGAGGCCAAGGTGGGAGGATCACTGAGGTCAGGAGTTCGAGACCAGCCTGGGCAATATAACCCTACAAAGCTCTGTAGAGACCCATCTCTACAAAAAATTTAATTAGGCGTGGGTGCAGTGGCTCATACCTGCAATCCTAGCGCTTTGGGAGGCTAAGGTGGGAGGATTGCTTGAGGCCACGAGTTGGGGAACAATCTGAGCAACATAGAGAGATCCTGTCTCCACAAAAAATAGAAAAATTAGCCAGGTGTGGTGGCGCCCACCCGTAGTCCCAGCTACTCAGGAGGCTGTGGCAGGAGGATCCCTCGAGCCCAAGAGCTCCGGGGCGCAGTGAGCGATAATTGCGCCACTGCACTCCAGTCTGGGCAACAGACTGAGATCCTTTTCTTAAAAAAAAATGTGTGTTTTTTTAGGTTGAATTGTGTCCCCCCAAAAGATATGCTTAAGTCCTAACCCCTGGTACCTCAGAACATGAAGCCATGGGGAATGGGGTCATTGCAGATGTAATTAAAGTTAAGATGACACATTGGAGGAGGGTGGGCCCTTAATCCAATATGACTGGTCCCCTCACAAGGAGAAGGAAATGTAGACACAGACAGAGGGAGGATGGCCACGTGAAGACAGAGGCAGAGATCAGAGCAATGCTGCCACAAGCCAAGGAACACCTGTGGCCACCGAACCTGGGAGAGGAAAGGAAGGCTCCTCCCCTAGAGGCTTCAGGGAAAGTGTGGCCCTGCCGACACCCTGATTCAGACTTCTGGCCTCCGGAACTGTGAGACAATCAATCAATCTCTGTCGTTTTAAGCCACCGGTCTGTGGTACTTTGTTAGGGCAGCCCTAGGAAACCAGCGCAGTGTGCTACAGCTCCACCATATAGAAAAGGATCTCAGGAAAGGACTGCTATGCTGGCCAATGTCAGTCTTACAAAACAAGACATCTTACAAAACAAACAAAGCAAAATATTTGGTACACGTAGACTTCCAGTTAGATTGCTACGTTGTTGTTTTGTTTTTGTTCTGAGACGGGGCCTCCCTCTGTTGCCCAGGCTACAGTGCAGTGACATCAGCCTAGCTCACAGCAACCTCAGACTCCTGGGCTCACGCGATCCTCCTGCCTCAGCCGCCTGAGTAGCTGGGACTACAGGCACGTGCCACCATGCCCGGCTAATTTTTCTATTTTTTGTAGAGACGGGGTCTCGCTCTTGCTCAGGCTCACTCTGTTGTTGATTACCACTTTGTAAAATCAATAAATATGTCATTTCAATTTAATTACCTTATGGTGCACTGCTAATGACAGGGATAAGATTGCATAAAACCTCTCTGGGCAGGAGTCCACTATTTTTTTCTTGACTGTACTTATTTTTTCTGAGCTTTCAGCTTTGAGAGTAAGAACATTCCCCAAGTCCGAGGGGCACTTCACTACCCAGCTCCAATACGAAGGGCGAAGAGCTCGGGGAAGCGCTGTGCAGGCTCTGCTGCACGTCGGGAAGCCGCGCACCCTCTTGCTGTCACGGTGTCTGCCTTCGCAGAAGGGAAACTTTAGAGTACATTAGTGATTGTCTGACTTTTTTCCCCAACAGCAGAGCCCTTTTTATCATTCATAATCTTATCAGAACGTTAACACATTAAATGGATCGAAGTGGGGTTACTGTGTCGAAGTGGGGGCTCAGGTAAACCAGAGCTCACGCCCTTGGTTTACCTGTTGCCTCCTCCCTTCCTGGCAGAGCCTGCGAGAGTCCTTTCCATTTCCCTAAATCCTCAGTAATTAAGCATAACTTATGTCCCTGGCTCATAAAAGGCGCTGAGAAGTTTTTACCGAAATACCGAAGTATTTCTGCAAGGGGATGCTCACTGACAAACTGAGCTTGCAGAAAAGAACTCGTTACAATCTTTACAAAGGAATTTCCTTTTCTGCCAACACTGTAGAAGAGAGAATCTGAAGAAGCAATGAAAACAACTAAGAAAACTGTATAAAATAAAGACCATCTTTTTAAAGCAAGAAAAAAATTTCTAACAAGGAACCAAGAGTTCCAGAACTTACCAGTAAAACAAAAGAAGCATTTCTAACGACAAGGTGTAGAAAGCCATGGATAAAATCCAACAAAGCACATGCTGGAGATTGTGATCAAGAAATTATGCAATCCACCCTCCCTCCAAGTATGCTCTGGGATGGCACAAAGCATGTCCTGTGAGAGGGGCTTAGAGATATGATCACTTCTGTCTGGAGAACGTATGCGGCCATCTTTTTAAATGCACCCCTGAGGGGCAAAAAAGGATCTGCAGTGGTCCAACATGAAGGAAAAGCAGGAGCTGAGAGAAAAGAAAGCATCAAAGGCAGTTTTTGCTCTAAGGAAAACTGCACAATCTTGAAGACCTTGAACTTCAGTTCCGAGAGCTGTCAGGTAGAGAGGGTGGAAGACAGTAAGATCTGTCCAAAGTAGGTAATCTCATAGAGGATCCCAGCTTAAAATTGGGACCCCAAAGGGCTACACCGTCAGTGAAAGGTTACAGATAATAAAGCCACTATACAGAAGGGGACAACAAGGAAACATACCTGTCTTGACTGTGACATTAGGTGGAAGGAAGGGAAAGCCTCATCTGAGACTTCAAAACCACACTCAGTCCCATAAAAGACTGCAGCTGAAACTGACACTATCTGTGTGGTCCCCAAAACCTCCAGCAAATAATGTCATTTAAAACAGTCCTGGGTTGGTAACGTACCAGGTGACTGGGAGATGCAAATGCAAACCTTTTCTGGAAGAATCAAACTGCACCAGGTCTCAAAAAAATCCCCTCAATTCCCAAGTAAAATGAACTAAGAGACTACAAAAATGACCCAGCAAGTCTAAATAAAAAACAAAAAACTTCTTTAAAAAAGAGCTAATAACTGAAATTACAAATTCAGTGAAAAGGCTGAAGAACAGACTAAACATTGCTAAAGGGCAAGTTTGTGAACTGGAAGACAGATGTGAAGAAATCACCCAGAATACAGAGAGAGAGAGATCAAGAAATGGAAAACGTAAGATGTTAAAAGACACGGAGGGCACAACGACAAGCGTCCACTTACCACTACTCAACAGGACACTTACAAATGGCCAAAATGATGAATTTTACATTATGTATATTTTACCACAATTTAAAAAATGAAAAAAAAAAAAAAGACATGGAGAGTATAATGAGAAAGTCTAACATACATTTAATCAGATATCCCAGAGACAGTAAAGAGTATGGGGAAGCGGTAATATATAAAGAGATACAAATTGAGAATTTTCCAGAGTAGTTGAAAGACACAAAACTTCACATCCAGGAAGCCCAACAAATTTTAAGTAAAAACAGAAATCTACCCGTAGACACACTGTAGTGAAATTATACAATCCCAAAGGCCAGAGAAAAAAAGAGATCACCTGCAAAGGAACAGCAATTAGAGTGACAGCCAACTTCAAAATAGAAACAACGGGAACTAGGAGACTATGCAATATAGCTGAGCTTTCCATCTTCAATATACTAAAACAAAATAACTGTAAATGTAATATTCTAAACCCTAAGAAAGCAACAAAGGCATTTTCAGACAAACAGGAACTGAAAGAAGAGATCTTCAAGTACAGTACAGGAGACTTTAAAGGAATATACTTAACTCAGAGGAGAAAATTATCCCAGATGGAAGGTCCTTAACACAAGCGGGAATTGTGAGCAAAAATACGGGTAAATATAAGGGGACATCAATATACACTGACTGCATAAACTAGGAAAAATTTCTAATTTGTGCAGTTAAAGTATATAACTAAAATGCTTGACAACAATACACATAAATTGGGAAAGGGATGAATGAAGTTAATGCATTCTAAGCTCCTTGAATGTTCTGGAAGGAATAAAGATACTTACTTTAGACTTTATTATGTATACATACTAAAATAGCTATGATGACCATTAAACGAACAGATGTAGAGTAGCAAAAGGAAAAAAAAATGGAATAAAATGATTCCCCATGAATACTGACGGTCACTAAATTCCTCAAAGCACCAGAGCCTGAGGTCTGCCTTGGAATGCCAGACCCGAGTGGGCCGTGCACCTGCCGTGCCATGGCTCCACCCCGGGTCTAACCTTTATCCACACTGCTGTGCCATGCTATTCACAAATGAAGGCTTCACTGTGAGAAAATGATGGCAGTAATTAAAAAAATAATTTAAGCAAATCTTAGTTTTTTAAAGCATCACTCAGAAACCGCTAGTGTATACAAGGAGAAACCACAGTGCTGTCTAGGATCTGATACAAAATTCAAAGCCTGCCACTCACCTGGAAGAGTTCTTTAAATGAAGGGTGTACCATAGGGTTGGGAACAAAAGGAAGGGCGTAGAAAGGAAGAAACTCCGTGGTCTGGCTCAGCGCTGCCCCTTTGGTCTCCAGGTAGGTTTTGAAGTAAGAAATCCTTTCCTCCAGCTCTTCTCTGTCCTAGAGGAAGGGAAGAAACCCAGTCCCCCTGTTCACCTGGCCTCGCCCTGAGGCTCCTCGGGTCGCAGCCCTGTGGCTGACACCCCCGACCTGGCCAGGTAGGTGTGCTGTCACAGTCATTCTACGATTACCTCAAATTTCCCCCCTAATAAAACTCTGTCAGGAATATCAGAGAAGACATATACAGTTCAATATGCTGTGTTTTTACTTTATTACCACCATTTTCTCATGTTCTTAAAATTCTTTATAAACATTTCTAATAGCAGGACAAAACCTCATCTTGCCTACTATAACTTACTTAGCTCTCCCATTATTAGCCATACACATTGTTTCCGCTTCTCGTCTAGAAACGAGTATTCGTCTGCCTTCCCCCGATTCCGACAGGAGAGGTTTCGGAAGGTGAGCAGGCGAGTCTTCGCGGGGTTTGAAGCAGAAGCTTCCACACCGTTCTTTCCTGTGTCCCCTAAGGCTGGCCTCGTCCTGCTTCACTCTTCCAGGTGCAATCCAAGCAAGTCAGTTCCCTGTCGGGGTGTCTATCTGCCCCTGGGCCTCGATGACAAGACCAGAGGAGCCGAGTTCGGTGCTGCCGACCCGAGCCGGCTCTGGCAGTCACGGCCCTCACGGCCTCGCGCAGACCGAGCCTGCTCTGCTCGCGAACCGGCCCCGTCTGAGGCACGCCATGAGGCCCTCTTCTGACCGCTGGATTTAAAAAACAGATTATGTTTATTGATTTTTATCTTATATCAAAACCGAAAAATTAAAAACCAGAAATAAAAAATGAAAACCTCCTATATCTTCTCCACATGAGTAATAGCTTCCAAGAACGGTACCGCAATATAGAGTCATGCTGCTGCCTCCACCACTGTCCCCTCTTTTGGTGTCCTTGACATTTAACAAGTTAACGCTGGTCCTGGGGGCAGCAGTTAATGCCCGGGGTCCAGTGCCAGCCGGCCCCTGCTCCCTTTCTGTCACTCCCTCTGCACTCAAAGCTCAGCCACGGCAGCAGCTAGAAATTTCGGCTCTGCCCTCTCCTCCCATCTCCAGCCCCCCTGGGAAAGGACCGCAGAAGCTAAATCCAACCCATCACTCAAATGGACTGTCCACAAATAGGCATACTATTTTCCACCACCTAAGTCTAAATTTACGTTCTCATATAGGGTCTAATATGCAGCCTAAATATGTGTTCTCTTAGATATACATGTATATATATTAAGTTGCCAAACAAACTTTATTTTGATGAGTTTTCAAAAGCTTGAGGTATTTAGGAAAACATGTAACTTTGATTACAGAAATGATTAAATGTCCATATAAATTAAAACATAAACTGCTGAGAACAAGGTAGAAAATCATTCATCATGGCCGGGCGTGGTGGCTCACGCTTGCAATCCTGGCACTCCGAGAGGCCAAGGCGGGAAGATTGCTTGAGCTCAGGAGTTCGAGACCAGCCTGAGCAAGCATGAGACCCCATCTCTACTAAAAATAGAAAAATTAGTCTGGCACCATGGCACGTGACTGTCGTCCCAGCTACTCAGGAGGCTGAGGCAAAGAGGATCGCTTGAGCTCAGGAGTTTGAGGTTGCAGTGAGCTATGATGACACCACTGCACTCTATCCAGGGCGACAGAGCGAGACTTTGTCTCAAAAAAAAAAAAAGAAAATCATTTATCCAAATGCCTATGCCTTATAGGCAATATGATAAAACAGCCATAAAATGAAATCAATACTCATTTGGAAAACAATAGCTAACTTTCTCTTAAAACATACCATTCAGACGAATTCAAATCACAAAGTAAACCTACCGGTCTTCCTACGGAGTGTTTCAGAAGATAGATGGCAAAATGGATATGAAGATAGAATTCCAACTTCTGGGCAAGGGAGTCGCCATCTCGAATGGAACTGGGAATGTATTCTTCCCACAAATTGAAGAACACCTTCTGGTCTCCGCTGTCAAATGCCGCGACAAGATCCTTCTGTGAAGAAGACATCAGACTGAACCCTAGTCGTAAGGGATGCTAGTTCTTCCAACATCCCAAATCCTCACAACCCACCCAACACCATAGATACCCCATATACTCCTTTCCGGAGTTAAGGGACAGAAAAACAGAGATCCTGGAGGGCTTCAAGCTTCTTAGGCTGAGATTCCTGCAGCCCAATCCTGGTTTTCTACCTCTGTGCAATATTAAATCTGAGCACTATAAAAACAGACACAACATTTAAGGTCTTTGAAATGGAAAGAATCAGACGCTGGACAAAGACTTGAAGCCAGAGAACTCATAAATACACTGAAGTCACCCTTTGGGCTTGCTGCCCCACAGCATGACTGATAAAAACAGGTCAAGCCAAAAGCCCAGCCAGGCCTCACCGGAACCACCCTCACACATATGGACGCTTGCTGACAGCACCACGCCCAAGTCCCTGAGCACCAGCAGCACATATACAACGACCCAGTCAACCCTGGGCCTGGGAGGTGGGCGCTGCTACTTGCCCCTGTTGCTAGAAGCAAGTCTGATTGAGATGGCACTGTGGGAAGCCACTGCGGACCCCAATGCACCATAAGGGGACCGTCTGTGCCCACCGGTTGCAGCGACAGGGAAGCATAAGCTGGAGATGGAGGGAGGAACACACGCTCAGTGTCATTCCCACCACAGAGCTGTGAGTCTGTGTGGGACAGGGACAGCTTTATGACTTACCATACAGTAGCTGAAAGAGTATTTTGGAGAAAAGAGGTGGCGATTATCACGCCACCTGCCTCACAAGAAGAAAAACAACTGACTTGTCACAAATACCTGCTGCATAATTTTGTGGATTTAAGTATAAGGCAGAATTGAAAGAATTTCCTAACAGTCCAAAACAGCGACTCCTATTGTTCTCCTTTTTGTATTGACTGCCCAAGATATTCAGACCTACACTTTGTGTTCAATTGCAAAAGCTTTTAAGCAGCAGTGCCGCTGGGGGCTGGCTCACCCCCAAGCTCACCTCTGCCCAGGTCCCCAGCAAACCCTGTGAGGAAGCCTTTGCCCTTGAGAGGTGCAGTGACAAGAACTCTTTGATTGTGTGAATGAGGCGAGCACAGATTCTTGTGGACTTTTAAGGCACAAAGTCAAGGTATTTTCTTAACGTGGCTTGACAGAGTCCATAAGTCAAATGGGCCATCTGTAGTTTGTTCTAAACTCTATATTTGTAGACCTTGGGACCACAAACCTTTGCTATGTCATTATAATCACATCTATCATCCACCCTAACTTATGATTCATATTCTGTTCCTGGAAATGGTCCCTGCATTTAAAATAATACCCACACATAATGCAATCCACTGTTACAACTTATGTGGTCACAAAATATTAATGATGTTCTGTAAGCCATGATCGCAGCCAGAATCACCGAGATGAACAAATGTGCACACCACCGATAGTAATGTACTAATATAAATGCACACACTTCTTACAGGACTGTGCTTGGGGAAACCTGGCATTTGGTGAGTGTCACTGACAATTAGCATATTTTGCTGAACTGCTGCTCCAGGTATTTTTGTTTGGGAAATCTATCATAGTGGAGCACAGCTGTTGATGGGGTGAGCAGAAAAGATATGCTTGTGACAATTGAGAAGTTTCAAGGTCTTTCAATTTATATAAAAATGAACCTGAAGACATCAGAGAAATGCAAATCTAAACCATAACAAGATATCACTTCAAACCCATTAAAATGGCTAATATTAAATACACACACACACACACACACACACACACACAAATGGAAAATAACAAGTGTTGGCATGGATGTAGAGAAATTGGAACCCTTATACTCTACCGCTGGGAGTGGAAAATGGTATAACTTCTTTGTAAAACAGTTTGGCAATTTCCTCAAAAAATTAAAAATAGAACTACCATATGATCCAGCAAACCCACTTCTAGGTATATATCCAAAAGAGTTAAAAGCAAGGTCTTGAAGGGATATATGCACACCCATGTTCACAGCTGCTCTATTCACAGAAGCCAAGAGGGGAGGGAAGCCACCCAAGTGTCCGCTGACAGAGGGGTGGATAAACAAACTGTGGTACACACGTACGATAGAATACCACTCAGCCTTTACAAAGGAAGGAAATCTTGTCACATACTACAACATGAATGAACCTCGAGGACATTATGCTGAATGAAATAAGCCAGTCACAAAAAGACAAATACTCTATGATTACACTTCTATGAGGTATCTATAGTAGTCACATTCCTAGTAAGTAGACCGGTGGTTGCCAAGGGATGGGGGAGGAGGAAAGAGGGAGTTGTTTAATGGGTATAAAGCTTCAGATTTGCAAGAGGAAGAAGTTTTAGAGATCTGTTTCACAACATGTAAATATACTCAACACTACTGGACTGTACACATAAAAATAATTACAATGGCAAATTTTATGTTTTTATCACAATTTTTTAAAAGACCCAAAGAGATATTTAAGGGTTCTCAGATGCAGCTGGAGCTGAAATATAATGGCAACCCAGTTGCAAAAGTGTAAAGCATTTGTCTCTGGAGGTCCGAGATTTACAAAAAGCTTCAAGACACAGAGCCTATTGGCCTTGCCCTATATCATCACCTAATTGGGTCATGTGTGAACTTCACAAAAGATTCTGTTCTGCTAGTTAGGTACTGAGGATTTGCCATATCCCTCACAAGCGTTAGCTTCAATGAAGAGATGCTGACATATTCTTCCAATGGGTATGTAAAGGTGGGTGGTCTTTCTTCATCCAGAGGAACCAGGGAAACCAGGTGCTGGGGAGTGAAGCTGATTTCCTGATGAACACACTTCACTCTGACTAAGGATCTGTTTCCACCTCTAATAATGACTCTATTCTTCTTTTATGTTCTGACTATCTTGCTCCAGGTTTGGGAGGTGCCAGGGAGGTCTGGCTGCTGCAGCACCCACAGAGGAGTCTGTGTCTGAAGAGGGGGCAGCTCAGGTGCCTCAGGCCCAAAGGGGACCAGGCAGAGGGCACAGCCCCCCTTAAGCTCCATGGCCACTTTGACAGCACCACCCCCCCCAAAGATGACCATGCCAGGCCACTGGAGAGTCAGGGACTAGGAAAAGCCGGGCAGTGGCTACAGTCTGAACTGCAGCTACTCAAGCGACTCACAAATCAAGCCTCAAATTATTTTTGGAAGTACATATATTGAAGAAATAAATAAATTTATTAAAATTATCTGAAGGTGAAATATGCTACTTCGAGAAATATGCTTCTCTTGTCACTGGAAATATTCAAAGTGAACTGATCACTTACCTGGACTATTACAAATGGGATTGAGGCATCGAATAATGGTTGAAATGAGGACTGTTAAGGTCCCTTCTAACCCTGAGAGTTGAGGACTATACAGTCTTGTGCCCTCTGCAGCTCACCGCTATCCACAGAGCTGCTCAGGCATTCCCTTGATAAAACGCTACCTTGTCTGTCTCACTCTTGTTCCCTGTCTCTCCAATCCCCCCAAACTAGAATGCAAGCTCTGAGCAGAGATTTTGTTTTGTTTTGTTTGTTCACTGCTGTATCCCCAGTGCCTAGAATTAATAACCTTAAACGCCTCAGGAGGAAGAGTCTCCTCTTTCCTTCTTCCCAAGAAATGTATGTGAAAGATCTTATGTGGCCACACATTTCCTAGGTAAGGTACCGAGATTTAAAGATGACATTACCAACTCATCCATAAATACTTATGTAGTCTAAAGTAACTCTGAGGAGGTCCTCAGAAACAATTCCACATTCTTCAATGGCAGCACTTTTTACAAATTGAGAGTATCTTGATTATCTACAGGGATGACAAATAAGCAAAATGTTACCTGAATTATCAATGATTTAGAGTCTCTTAAAGATCCACCTGCTGTTTTACATAATGGTTTTCCTTTTATTTTGCATTCTTTTGAAAAGGTTTTCAAGGTGTCTTCAAATTCAGCAAAATCTAAATACTATAAAAAAAGGAGAACATAATCAAACAACTCAATAACAAAAAACCAAATAATACAATTTTAAAAACAGGCAAAGGATCTGAATAGACATTTCTCCAAAGACATAAAAAAAGGCCAACAGATAAATGAAAAAGTGCTCAACATCACTAATCATCAGGGAAACGCAAATCGAAACCACAATGAAATACCACCTCACACGTGTTAGAATGACTATTATCAAAAAGATGAATGGTAACAAGTGTTGGCAGGGATGTGAAGGAAAGGGAACCCTCGTGCGCTGTTGCCGGGAATGTAAATTGGTACAGTCATTAGGGAAAACTGTATGGAAGTTCCTCAAAACAATAAATATAGAACTGTCATAGTCCAGCAATCTCACTTCTGGGTATATATGGAAAGAAAAGAAAATCAGTATTTCAAGGAGATGTCTGCACCCCATGTTCACTGCAGCATTATTCACAGTATTCAAGATATGGAATCAAGCTAAATGTCTGACAGATGAATGGATAAAGAAAATGTAGTACATAGCTATGGTGGAATATCAGTCATCCTTTAAAAAGAAGGAAACCTTGCCATTTGTGACAACATGGATGGAGCTGGAGGACATGTGCTAAGTGAAAAGCCAGACACAGACAAGTACCTCACGATCTCACTTACATGTGGAATCTAAAATAGTCAACCTCATAGAAGCAGAGACTACAACGGTGGTTGCCAGGGGGTGGGGGATGGGGAAAATAAGGAGATGTGGGTCAAAGGGTACACAGTTTACTTACACAAGATGAATAAGTTCTGGAGATCTAAGGTATGGCATGGTGTCTACAGTTAACTATACCATACTGTATATGTGAGATTTGCTAAGGGAGTAGATTTTAAGTGTTCTTATCACCAAAAGAGGGGGGAAAAAAAGGAAACTATGCAAGATGATGGAATATATTAATTAGCTTAACAGTGATGAAAATTTCTAATTGTATAATGTATGCTAATTCACAATGTATACATATTCAAAACATCAAGTTCTACACCTTAAATACATGTATTTTTGTCAATTATACTTCAATAAAGCATAACAAACATAAATTTATATGTATTTCTCTGTTTTAACATCAACAAGTAACTGTCTTTGATGTCCTTGTACCAGCTCGATATTATCACCAGTTTACAATGGGGTCAGTGAACTGTCAGTGAACCATCATCTTTGGGAGAAGTTAATTTGGGATCCAGCTTAGAATTTACTTGTCGATATATACCCTAAAAGCCTAGAAGGGCAGTATCCTAGAAAATATTTATTTTCAGAAAATCAAGTTGTTTTCAGAAGGAAAATACGAGCTACACAATTCATTATAATTATTAGTAGAAAAACAGGCCGGGCGCAGTGCCTCAGGCCTGGAATCCTTTGGGAGGCTAAGGCAGGAGGGCCAGTTGAGATTAGGAGTTTGAGACCAGCCTGATCAACAGAGCAAGACCCCATCTCTACAAAAACGGAAAAAAAGAAAGAAAAGAAAAAGAAAATCATGTGTGCAGCTGTCTGAAAAAGGCAAAAGTGATTGGCAGGCCTGACGGTGCTAGGTCTGTAGGTCCCCGGGGAATTTGTTACTTGAAAGAGGGAATTGGAAATAAAGCCTGTCGCTAAGAACAGGAGAAGAGAAGTCATTACAAGCTGGGCAGTGTCATCAGCGACCCGCCTGCACAGCACTCACGGTCTCCATCCATTTTGACACACATGCTCTATTATCGGTCTTCACACTCCTCTGCCCTCCTTCTCAGTTTCTGTTGGTCATTCCTTTCTGCTTCCACCTGCTCTAACTGTGGCTCTTTCCCTAGCCCAGGCCACAACCTGCTGTTGTGACAACTTTAAGAATTTATTTGCCATTATTCCACCAAATTCCAAAGTGTGTGCATTTCCAAGGCGGGTGCCTCATCCTTGCTCTATGGCCATGTCTCTCCAGGCCTGAGGGACAGTTTGATCACACACTGAAGCAGCAGCAACTATTTCCTTAGCACCAAAAAGCATGAGGTGTGGGTCCTCCTCTTCAAAACTTTCAGTATAGGAAAGCTAAATGTCCACTAAGAAGCAGCGAGTTAAATAATTAGGATGCAGCCATTCAGTGAGATACTCGACAGCACTGGAATGTCGAGGGCGGATCACGGGAGGATGCTTCTGCTACCCTATTGTCGAAAGATAAAAGGCAAGCTACAGAACACTGCGTGTGGTATCATCCTGTTTTGTGACACAAACTATAGGCATGTGAATATATTTTTACTATTCATAGAAAAAAGTCTGGGAAGATGATACACTAAACCATTAAGAGTGGCCGCTGCAGCAGTGGAGCCGGGAAGTTCCCTTCTTCTACCTCTGTATCTTGAGTCTTCTACCAAGAGCATGCATTATTTTTATAATTTTCTTCAAAGGAACTTTTACAAGTGGCTTTAATATTTCAGTTTCGTTAGAAAAACAAAATATAAACACATGGAAAATGATATAATGGAAAATAAATAGCTCCAATGTAATGACAAAACACTACAAGGCACTAAAGAATTTGTTGCATGTTAAAATACAAGTTTTCAAGATCTTTTTCTGTGACCTGTGTTTTTGTATGACATACCTACCTCTTTCACTAGTCCAAGTAATTCAGATTCATGAGCCAGAATATCCCCCATATTGAACCGTTACTGGTAATTCTCACAGCAAAAATCTCTACAAGGCAAAAACAGAAGACAAAAGCTTTCATTTCAACCACATGTGAAATCACAAAAGGGTGGCTGTGGTGAGAAGAATGGCCCCTAAAGATGTCTAGGCCCTAATCCCTGGCATCTGTGACGTATGTGAGGTTCCATGGCAAGGGGCAATTAAGGCTGCAGATGGCATTGAGGTTACTAGTCAGCTGACCTTCAAGCAGGGAGGAGATCTGGATTACCCAGGTGGGCCGCAAGCAGTCACTGGGGAAAGAGGCAGGAGGGTCAGGATCAGAGAGACTCGCCAGCCACTGCAGGCTTTGAAGGTGAAGGAAGGGTCACAGTCCAAGCAGGGTAGGTGGCCTCTAGAAGCCAGAAAAAGCAAAGGAATGGATTCTCCCTTAGAGCGTCCAGAATGATCAAGGCCTGTCGACATCTTGATTTGAGCCCAGTTAGACCCATTTCAGACTTCTGACCTCCAGAACTGTAAGATAATAAATTTGTGTTGCTTTAAGTCACTAAGTTTATGGCAATTTACTACAGCAGCACTAGGAGATACAATGGCTGAGGTTAAAAGTAATTCTTTCTACTCTTCCTGCCAGCTCTCCCGCAAGGCGTACCCACAGCAGCCATTCCCCGTGTGCCAGCCCCCGGCTCTTGCCCTAGATTGGGATTGGTTGCCCATAACTCCAGAGGATCAAAAAGTCTGGGCGCTATTACCAACTATGCTGTTCGCTGGCACCTGATCCGGGGTAAATCAGGAAAACTCTGAGACTTTTTCATCTGTAAAATAAACTAGAGAATTTATGAGATCTCTTCCAATTCTAAGAATGTATGAGTCTGTAACCTTAAATTTTTCCGCCAGTGCATTTGATACGAATTATTTGAACACAGGAGGATTAAATTTAGTGGTTTTCCCCTATTTGTTCTGTCTCACTGTCATTGTCTGTGGCTTCATATCTCTCCCAAGGGATTGCAACCTGATCTCCTATCTCCTCTCTCTCCACTTCCATCCAAGGTCTATACTTTTAACAAGTGATCTTCCCCTTCCTGCCTGGAACCCTCCTGTGGTTTCACTACCCTCCAGATGAGGCCAAACTCCGCAGGCCCAACTCCCGAAGCCACACACAATTTGGCCTCCTACACTCTCCCGATTGATCTGTAGACTTGGGCCTCCCTGGCAGTTCCGGTGGACACTTGTAGACCCAAAGTACATGCCTGCCTCGAGGCCTTTGCATTTGCTGTTCCCTTTGCCTCACTACCCTTCCTTCAGATACCCACATCTCATCCGGATCTCTGCCTGACTATCATCTCCTTAGAGAGATTCGCCCTTAACCACCCTTTCCAAGAGGTCAGCCTGTCACTTCCTATCACTTTGTGCCATTTTATTGTTCTCAACAGAACTAACCACTACTTGACTGAAATACCCTTTCATAGGCCAGGTGTGGTGGCTCACGCCTGTAATCCCAGCATTTTGAGAGGCCGAGGAGGAGGGATCACTTCAGCCCAGGAGTTCACGACCAGCCTGGCAACATTGTGAGACCTCATCTCTACAAAATATTTTTTAAAAATTAGCCAGGCATGGTGGTGCACACCCACTCGGGAGGCTGAGGCAGGAGGATCACGTGAACCCAGGAGTTCAAGGCTGCGGCGAGATATGATCGGGCTACTGCACTCCAGCCTGGGTGACAGAGTGAGATTCTGTCTCAAAAAAACAACAGAAACCATCCTTTCCTGAATGTGTCTGCTCGCTGTCAGTCTGTCCCCAGAGGACTGAGGAGGCGACTGACACAACCTGATGTCCACTTTTAACAAGCACTGTGTCTGCTGTTTGGAGGGGACGGGGCAGCGGAAACGGGGGAGCAGCAGGAGGCACTGCACAGCCCATGCTCACTGTGAGTGTGGAGTGGAGGAGCGAGAGGAGCCGCAAGGAGCGTTCCGAGGCCAGACAGAAAAGGCAGAGGCAGCACGACTTGCTCAGGGATCGGACGTGGGATGTGAGGGGAAGAAGTGAAGGAAGCAGCCTGGGGTGTGAGCCGCGGGGTGAGCAGTACGCTGTTCGCTGAGATGCGGAAACCTGGAGAGGGACCACTTTAGAGGTCAAATAAGAGCTCAGTCTCGGTTGCAAGTCTGAGATGCCTATTCGACATTCTGGTGGAGGTGCTGGAAGGGTCAGTGGATACCCGAGTCTGGAGTTTAAGGGAGAAGCAGGAGCTACAGACAGAGGGATGGCAGAGAATACGGGTACTGAGCAAAGAAACAGATTTAGTGATGAGAAGTGAAACAAGACACAAGGTCATCAGCTGCCAGAAGCAGCGTGGTGACAGTCTGAAGACAAAGGAAGTTGGGAACCAAATTGCTACGGCAACATGGCAGGGTTTCTAGTATTAGAGTCCGTTTAAGATCTCTGGACTTGAATCTAAAATGGAACCGGTCTGCAGTTTTGCAGTTTCTCTGCAGCTATTTTCAGCTGTCTGAGTTGGGTTAACCAGCAGGGAGGTTTTTCTAGAAGAGAGGGGAAAGGGAAAACAAGTAGAGCAGTGATGGGACAGGGAAGCTAAGCCAGGTCAAGGGAGGGGCAGGAGGCACGGGAGGGGGGTGCCGGGCAGCGAAGAGGTGCTGGGGTCAGAGACCTGCTGGGCAGGCACATGGAAGCGAGCTCGCAAGATGGAAGGGAGTGAACAGCGTGGGAGGGATGCCTGAAGTCAAGATTTGGGAGGTGACACAATAATAAAAAGCTCATGACCACAGGAGGAGGTGGATAAGGACAGAGGAAAGAGATGCCTGAAGTAGGGAGGGTGAAGAAACTGGAGTGGCCAAGATGTTGAAACCCCCAAAAGCAAAGCAGAAGAGGTGGAGAGGCGGACAGCGCGCCAGGTGCCAATGTCTCCAAGGGAAACTTGGAGACTCGCCCTGGGAGGTGGTTGCCTCAAGGTGAGGGTGAGCTGGCAAGAGGTACAGCCCCTGCCAGGTACTTGAAAAAAGCTGCGGGTTGGGAAGGAGGGGTGGTGATCTGTAAGCAGCAATGAGCAGCAGGGAGAACACCTGCCCACCCACCACCTCCAGGCCTGCCAGATACATAAGGTGAGAGCAGAAAGGCAGCTGCTGGCTGAGGACACACCTCTCTCCAGCCTTGCTCTGGACCCGCCCCCACCCCCGGCCCTCTCCTTCTCCCCTTCCATTGCTTCCCCACATTCGGCCCTGCCAGCAGTGAACTCTCGGCCATTCCCCCATGCATCATCCATATGACACGCTGCTTCCCAAAGCTGAGCCTGCGGTTTGATATGTGCCTCCCCCGACTACACACGACTCACCACTCTAACCTAGGCCAGACTTGACCTTCTTCAGGAAGTCTTCCATGAACTAGCCCTCCCCTCCCTCCCTATCAAGGCAATTCTTTCTCCTCTGGGGTACCTCTGTACCCTACACCGACTTCTGCTGTTATACTTACAACCCTGTTTACAAAGAGAGAGTTGTATGTAAATCGTGTATCCCCAGAACCTAGCAGAGTGCCTGGTAGGCAAGATAGGCACTCAAGACATTTGATGAATAAATGAAGCCCAGGCTGAGGGAGCAGCATTTTAGAAGGCCCTGGAACAAGAAAACTTCCTTGGTTTTGAGAACTTGAGCTCATTCCAGACTCAGGGCCTTTGCATATACTGTTCTCTCTGCCTGAAACAGTTTCCCCCCACCTCTTGCTTCATCTGGTTAACCCTTGTACTTAATAAATGTCACTTCCTTAGAGATGTCCTCCGTGACCATTTTGAATAAGATTCTGCTGTGATCAGTTGTCAGTGAACATGAGCCACTGTTGGGTATTCTACTGCTCTGACATTGCTAGAAATTAGAGTTTTCTCTAAACCTGTATGTCACAATAGTTATCATTTTTGAGGGTTTATTGTATTCCAGGCAATGCACAAAACGGTTCACATCTAATCTTCATAGTAAACCTGAGAGATGAATACAATTTATATTCTCCTTTGACAGATGAGGCAAGTGAAGCTCAGGAAGGTTGACACACTTCCAATAGCCACAGCTGGTAAGTGACAAAGTAGGAATTTAAATCCATGCTGATATTAACCACTACACAGTATTTTCCCAGAGTTTGGACCACCTGAATCAGAATCGCCTGCGATGCTTGTGCAAAAGAAAATTCCTGCCTCCGCCCTGGTCTTACTGAACACGATGCCAGGCACCATGCCCAGACATCTGCCTTTTAAACAAGCTCCCTCC